CACTTCTTTAGGGTATATACCTAGTAATGGAATGGCTGGGTCAAATGGTATTTCTAATTCCAGCTTTTGAAGGAATCGCTATACTGCTTTCCACAGTAGTTGTATCATTTTACAGTCCCATCAGCAGTGTATGAGAGTCTCCATCTCTCCACAACCTCGCCAGCATTTGTTATTTTCTGTCTTGTTGAACTTTGCTGCTAGTGCTGGGGCCAGATGGTATCTCATTGTTTTTTAATTTGCATCACTGTAATGGCTAATGGTAGCATAGTGCCTAAAGCACTTGACTGCTAGCCAGAAGGCTGGCGGTTCAAACCCACCAGCCACTCCTCTCGGAAGGAAGATGGGGCAATCTACTTCCATAGTGATACTGCCTCGAAACCCAAGGAGGGGTCGCTATGAGTTGGGTCCAACTTGACAGCACAATACAACAACAACGGCTAACGATCGTGAACATTTCTTCATATGTTTGTTGGCCACCTGAAATCTTCTCTGGTGAAGTGTCTATTCATGTCTTCTGCCCATTTTTTAATAGGATTGTCTTTTTGTTGTTGACGTGTTGGAGTTTTCTATAAATTTTAGAGGTAAGTCCCTTGTCATTGTTGAATATTTCACTCCCAATCTGTAGGTTTTTTCACTCTTTTGGAGAAGTCTTTTGAAGCACATAAAAATTTATTTTTTAGAAGGTCTCATTCATCTAGTTTATCTTCTGCTGGTTGTGCATTTTGAGTTATGCTTGATAGTCTATTTATGCCATATATTAGGTCCCCTAAGTTTGCCCCTAGTTTTTCCTTGAGGAACTTTATAGTTTTAGGTTTCCCTTTTAAGTCTTTGATCTATCTGGAGTTACTTTTTGTGTATGGTGTGAGGTATGAATCTTGTTTCATTTTTCTACAAATGGATAACCAGTTTTGTCAGCGCCATTTGTTAAAGAGATTACCTCTTCTCCATTTAGTGGATTTCAGCCCTTTGTCAAAAATCAGCTGATCATAGGTCAATGGATTGATTTCTGGGTTCTCAATTCTGTTCCACTGGTCTGTGTTCCTGTCATTGTACTAGTACCAGGCTGTTTTGACTACTGTGGCTGTAGAGCAGGTTTTGAGATCTGGGAGTGTGAGACCTCCTACTTTGTTCTTCTTCAATAGGGCTTTGCTTATCCTAGGTCTCTTTCCTTTCCATATAAATTTAGTGATTGGTTTTTCCATATCTTTAAAGAATATTGATGGGATCTGGATTGGGATTTCATTGAATGTATAAATTGCTTTGGATAGAACTGACATTTTCACAATGTTCAGGCTTCCTATCCATGAGAATGGTATGTTCTTTCATTTATGTAGCTCTCCTATGGTTTCTTGAAGTGGAAGCACAGAAGTCTTGGAGCACTTACTGATGAAGATCAAAGACCACAGCATTCAGTGTAAATTACACCTCAGTGTAAAGAAAACAGAAACCCTCACAACTGCACCAATAAGCAACATCATGACAAATGAATCGTCAAGCATTTCATTTTACTTGAATGCACAGTCAATGCTCGTGGAATCAGCAGTCAAGAGATCACACGTCATATTGCACTAGCCAAATCTGCTGCAAAAGACCTCTTTAAAGTGTTCAAAAGCAAAGATGTCCTTTCGAGAACCAAGGTGCGCCTGGCCCTAAAAAAAAAAAAAAAAAAAAAAGCCACTCACTGCTGTCGAATTGATTCGACTCATAGTGACCCCTCCTTAGGTTTCCACCGTGGTATCTCTATGACAGTAGATTGCCCCATCTTCTTTCCGAGGAACCCACCAGCCTTCTGGTTAGCAGTCAAATGCCTTAGGCACTACACCACCAGAGCACCTGTCCCTAGCCATGATATTTTTAACTGCCTCATATGCATACAAAAGCTGGCCAATGAACAAGGGACACAGGAAGAATCAATGTCTTTGAGATGTTGGCGAAGATGCTGAATATACACACCATGGACTGTCAGAAGACGAACCAATCTGTCTTGGAGAAGGTGCAGCTGGAATGCTCCTTGGAAGGGAGGATACTGAGACTTCGACTCACCTGAGTATTTTGGACTTGTCAGGAGGACCCGGTCCCTGGAGAAGGCCCTCACACGTGGTAAAAGGTCAGAGAAAAACATACCCTCGACGAGATGGACTGACACAGTGGCTCCAACATGGCAGCGAATGCGAGGATGGCGCAGGACCGGTCAGGGTTTCGTTCCGTGGTAGGTAGGGCTGCACCTAATACAACCCGTGCTTAAATGGGGGCGGGGCTGGTTTAAGGCGACCGCGCTGTGACAGGTGCTCCAGCAGGTGTGCTCTGGGAAAGGGAGGCGAACGCGCTGGAAGGTGGGCGAGGAGCCACCCCTGCACTGCCTCCCTAGTCTGAAGCGAGACTTAGTGTACTCACGTACTCGCGGCCCCGGACAGCGTGTGCAGCACATGAGGCGTTTCGTAAATAACCTAGAGCCCCAAAACCACTCTCCTGCGCTGAGGTCAATGATGAAATATGTTTACAGAACTGGGACAAGGGGCAGGCAAGCAGGCCATGGAGACGCACAGACACCAGAGCCGGCGCACCTCGCTCCGCAGAGACAGGCCGGGCGGAACCGTCGACGTCTTCCGCGCAGACTCTCGGACCACAAGGGGCGCAGAAGCCCCTACGGGACGTGCGGCGCGCAATCCGAGCCCGGGCCCTGGCGCGACGACTACAACTCCCAGGGGGCCGCGCGCCACCCCGCCTCCCTTCCCGCAGGCCCCGCCTCAGTCCCCTGCCTGCGGCACACACGGACGTGCGTAGCTGTCTCGAGCCAGTCAGCTGCTCCCGGAGAGGAGCGGCCGCGCGCCCGGGGAGGCGGGCCCGCCGCGTGGGGGCGGAGCGTGGCGGGG